TAACTTTATTTAAAAATAAAAAATATGCTGATTTCTTAATTCTTTTTTTTTCACCGTTTAATACAAAATTAAATAAAAATAATTTACAGCAATATTTATCAAGTAATATGAATATACCCTTTAGAAAATTTTTTAAAAGATTAATTCTTTCTTCTTCTGTATGGATATTCTTTTTTTTTAATTTCATTTCAACCGTACCTACAAAATGAGAGAGATAAGTCTCATCTTGTGTGTATTAACATTAAGCCTGATATTATAAATATAAATAAATAAATAAATAAATAAATAAATAAATATATATATATATATATATATATATATGTAAATAAATAATAAAAATAAATAAATATAAATGTATATTTATATATATATATATTTATTTAGTTATCCTATTTTTTTGTGTTTTTTAAAAGAAAACAATATATATGTTATAATATATATATAATTATTTATATACATATTTTTTTAAGTTGTATAATCGGCAAGAACAAAATAACATCCACATAAATTATAAGATATAAAATAAATGTATTACATATATATTGTTTATATTTTTTTAAAGAACATTTTTTTTTTTTTTTTTCACGTGTATCCATATGAGCACGTAATTTTTTCTTTCCTACTCAAAAAAGTAAATGTATAAAAAAATTCATTTTTTTTTTTTTTTTTTTTTCTCATTAGATAGAATAATATATAATATAATATAATATAATATAATATAATATAATATAATATATATATATATATATATTTATTTATTTATTTATTTATTCATATTTTATTTAATTTTAATATTTTTAGTAATCCCTATGGTTTTATATTATAATTCCCAAACTCCCCCCCCCTCTTTCCTTTTAAACTTACACTTTTATATAATATTAACAATGTAGGGAAATAATGATTAGAAAAAAAAAAAGTTATAAAAAAAGAATAATATAAAATGATATATGTTGTGAAATATTTATTTTTGTTTTGCTATATAAATACATTATTTTTAAAAAGAGTTTTATTTTGCTATTCATATAATTTATCACATCATTCTTCTTTATACAATAATTCAAAGTTTGAGTCATTCCAAAGAAATAAAAAAAAAAGAAACAAAATAAATAAATATCATAATATTTATTATCATAAGGGAGGTTTGAATTATGAGAATAATATCGGGAATAATTATATAAGTAATTCTTTTTTTTTAAATAAGTATATATATCATAAGAAGAAACATAAATTAAATTTTTTTAATAGTCCTATTTCGTATGATGATGCGTGTATTTTAAAAAATCTTTTTAATTCTTTTACAACGGAGGAAAAAATAAAAAATAAAAACAGTTACAAAAATGTTAACATAAATATTATGAGAAAAAAATGTATGCTTTATTTAACGTTTAATAACAAAGAAAATGATAACACAATTAATAATAATAATAATTATTATCATGTTGATCAATTGCATTTATCCAGTATAGAAGAAACAAATATTTTACCTTCAATCAACTGGGGACACCTTTCTCTTTTTTATGGTTCACATTTGAATAGAGATTATTATACTTATCAGGATATTATAAAATATATACAAGCAAATGAAAAGAAGTTTATAAAGTGTAAGAACAATAATAATAATGATAATAATGATGATGATATGGATAATAATATATATAATAATAATAATAATGATAATCATATAGATATAACAAAACAAACACGTATTGATAAAAAATGCATACTTATTAGAGGTCGTATAGAAAGAAAAAAAAAACAATCCAAACGAATTTTCTTATATGTAAGATTAAATAATGGAATGTACTTAACATGTGTATATGAAAAAAAAATTCCCACAAATAAAAATAATATATCTATATGTCCAATAGATAATATGTATATGTATATAAAGAATTTAAAAAATGAAAGTGTTATAGATATTGTAGGAAGAATCAAATTACATGGAACGTTATATAAACACACCATACCTTATATAGAAAGCTTGCTTAATCAAAGAGCCATCGAAATAGTAGTCGAACAAATAGATTGTATTTCAGAATCGTTTTATAATCCTCCAGTTATGATAAACGATAGTGATATCCACACAGACAAGATGCAAATGATCATAAGGGGTGATAATAAAATTGATGATATGCATCAAACGGATCGCACTGAGAAAGATAATATTGATAAAATGGAAAACACACCGAATGACAATATTGATAAAATGGAAAGCACTCTAAATGACAATATTGATAAAGTGGAAAACACTCTAAATGACAATGTTGATAAAATGGAAAACACTCTAAATGACAATATTGATAAAGTGGAAAACACTCTAAATGACAATATTGATGAAATGGAAAACACTCTAAATGACAATATTGATAAAATGGAAAACACTCTAAATGACAATATTGATAAAATGGAAAACACTCTAAATGACAATATTGATAAAATGGAAAACACTCTAAATGACAATATTGATAAAATGGAAAACACTCTAAATAACAATATTGATAAAATGGAAAACACTCTAAATGACAATATTGATAAAGTGGAAAACACTCTAAATGACAATATTGATAAAATGGAAAACACTCTAAATGGCAATATTGATAAAATGGAAAACACTCTAAATAACAATGTTGATAAAATGGACCCCTTACCATATAACAATGTACAACCCCAACACACCAATAATAATTATGAAGAAGAAAAAAAAATTAACACTAACGAAAACATGCTGAAAGTACAAAATTTTTGTTTAAATTATAGAAATTCAATAAATCATTTAATTTTATATATTAAAAGTAAAGTATTCCAAAGATTCAGAGACCTATTAGAAAGGGATGGCTATACAGAAATATTCACATCTAAATTTATAAGAATTAAAGAATGTGAAAAGAAGCCATCTCTTGATAAAGATGAAAACAATTATGAGGAAATTCAAGATAATAATATAGAGAATACTAGTTCATCAGATAATAATATAAATATTCAACTAACAGGATCTGAAGGTGGTTGTAAATGTTATAAGCTGGAGGGACAAAATATTGTATTATCACAAAGTCCACAATTATATAAACAAATGTTAATAAATTCTGATTATGATAAAGTATATGAAATTAATTATTGTTATAGAAATGAAAAATTTCATAGTTCAAGACATTTAAATGAATTTATGTCTTTAGATATTGAAAGAGTAATATATGATAATTATTATGAAATTATTATATATATGTATAATATCTTAAAAAATATGAATACATATATAAATAATAACTATTCTAATGAATTAAATGTTTTATCATCTTTTTATAATAATAATAATAATTATACATATAGAGCTAGCCAATTTTGTGATAATCCTATAGTCATCTCTTTTTCTGAAGCTCAAGATATATTAGATAAATATTATAGAAATAATAAAAATGATGTATTATTATTACATAAACAAAATAATTTACATATAAATAAAAAGAATACATATATATACAATAAGAAACATAATAAATATATAAAAATATTAAATAATGACGAAAAAAAAAATATGAAGAAAAAAATTATGTTTGAATCATCGGAGAAGGATAAATTACATAATATTTATTATTACAACAAAATATTAAAATATTATAAAATAAATAAAGAAGAAAACAAAAAAAAACAAGAAAATATATTTGTGTGTGTAAATAATGATATGGACAAGGAATATGATGAAACGAACAAATATAATGATACATATTACCACTTTTTAAATACTTTTAATAAAGATGAATTTTATAGACAATTATTATTATTTTTTAATAACATGTATGATAAATATGATGTGGAGAAAAAGAAATTACAAGAAAATAATAATAATATATTAAAAACAAAAACTGAGATATATGGATCACACACCTATGGAAAGATTAATTATGATGAAAATGATAATAATAATAAAGATGAACATATTAAAACGCTGTACGATTATATAAATATTATAAATAAAAAAAAAACTTATAATAATAATAATAATAATAATAATAATGATGATGGTAATATATTCATTACAGAACCTTTATCATATAACAGTTTAAAAAATAAATATATTTTATATGATGACTTCACAAATGACGAATTAAATTATCTATATTTATTTATAAAATATAATTTTCATAGTGATATATTTATTATAGATCAATATCCAGTTTTTTTAAGACCTTATTATACAAGTAGCAATATGTATGATCTAAGATTTTCTAATAGTTATGATTTTATATATAAAGGTATGGAAATTATTTCTGGAAGTCAACGAATTCATAACTTACCAATTTTACTTTTTAAAACATTAAAAGAAAATAAACAAATATCCTTATCAACATTTCTTCATAAAAAGGATAATTTCAACACATTAAATTATCTTCATAATTTCATGAAATTAATAAATACAAAATCAACAATTTATAAATATTTTAATTCTTTTCAGTATGCCTCAAAACCACATGGAGGATTAGCTCTAGGGATGGAAAGATATCTTATGACTCTCTTAAATCTGAATAATATAAAAAATGTTTCCTTTTCAGAATAATAATATTAATTTAAAATATATCAATATATATAAAATGTTATACATACATATATATATATATATATATTTATATGTTTTATTATTTTATTATTTCATGCTTATTATTTTTTTGTGACCATTACTTTATATATATATATATATATATATATGTATGTTTTTTTTTTTTTTTTATGAACTCTATTTCATATATATATATATTTAACATATAAATATATTTTATAATGATGTTTTAAATATTATATTTTCTTCTTCTTATATATATATATATATATATATATATATTAATATATATATTATATATCTAAATTTGTCATATTATGTAATATTTAAATTAAATAAATTTATTAAAATATATAGAATAAAATATAAATAAATATTTTTTTTTTTTTTTTTTTATTTTATATATTATATTTTTTTTTTATATTTTATGATAATTTTTTAATAAACTTGCCGTGACCAGGGATCGAACCAGGGACCTTCAGATCTTCAGTCTGACGCTCTCCCAACTGAGCTATCACGGCTTCATATTTTTTTCTTATCATCTAATTATTAATAAAAAATAGAAGCACTGAAAAAATTAACATCACATATATATATATATATATATAAATAATTTATTATATAATTCTGTTATTATACTTATAAAATATTAATATTTATTACTTATTTAAAAAAAATTAATTTCTTGACGCATTTTTTAATATTATTATCAATTTTATGAAAAAAAAAAAAAATATCGAGTGATTGTTTATTACATTCTTAAAAGGAGAAATAAGGAAATTTTGAAAAAATAACAAATATTAATATATATATATGTATGTATTCATATGTTTATTTATTGAATGAGCTTAGTATATTTTATATGTTCTACAAAAGAGTAAACTTAACATTTCTTGAGTGATTGATAGATAAAAACATAAAAGTGGTTTTTAATTTTTATTATTTATAACAATATAAAGAGAGATCCTTTCATTTAATAGGGGAAATATGTACATAATTTTGTTCTTTTAAAAAAGTACAAAAAAAAAAAAAAAAAAAAAAAATTGTGGAAATAATATTTTTTGTAAAAGAGAAATATAACAAAAAAAAAAAAAAAATATAATATTTTATATATAATTTGATAAACCTATGAATATAAATAAAATAAATATATATAAATAAATATAAATAAATGTATAGATATATAATATACATATCATATATATGTATGTATGACTGTTGTTATATATTAATTAAATATTTTATATAAAATATCTATATAATATATATATATATATATATATATATATATATATATATATATATTATTAATTCAATAATTAATATATTTTCACCCTTCTTTTTAAAATAATTTTTCCCGTTGTTATATATTGTTGCGTTTCCTGACATTCTACTATCCTTATAATATAATACAAATAGTCATTTTATTATTTATTTATAATTATTTTTATTTTTTTTCTTCTTATAATATATATATATATATATATATATATATATATATATATATATATATATATATATAGATGTCTTTTCCTAGTTAAAATAAAAAATTCCATATCTTTTTCATGACACAGAAAATATCATCAAATATGTTCTTAAATATATATCCCCTGAGTGTATTAAAAAAAATAATATCATTTACACATAATGGTTAAAGGGATAATCATATATATATATATGTGTCTACATAATGTTCAGTTTTTTTTTTTTTTTTTTATTACAAATATTCCGTAGGATGATAAGGCATAGATCTAAAAACGATCATTTGAGAAATTACATAAAGGCCTATATAAGACACTGAAGTGAATTGTAAACCTGATAATTATATTAAAAAAAAAAAAAATTAAATATATAAATAAAAAATAAAAACGGATGAACAAATTCTCATATGATTAAAATGCATATGTAAATATATATATATATTTATTTATTTTATTTTTTTATTGTCCCATTACTGAAAGAGTTCATATTTTCATTGTCCTTCATATAAGGGTTATCTAAACATTCATACAGCGAAAATAGAGCTAGCCAAAATAAGAAAAAAAAAAAAAAAAAAAAAAAAAAGAAATATATATATATATATATATATATACATATGTCAAATTTTCAAACACATATGAATGTATATCAAAGAAATGAAAAACTTTCTGTACCTATTAAGAAGACTAAAAGTTCAACTATAAGAAAAAGATAACACTAGTTAAAAAGATAAATGAACATATAAATAAATGTATTTTTATAAAAATTAAAAGAGTTGCTTCTCATTTTTATAAATATTTCATAACATACCAGAAAAATATCAAGGATTGATATGGTCACTACTCCTGTGGATAAGGACACATCAATTAAATCCTTAAACGAGAAAGGATACATTTTAATTTTAGATAATATATAAGTTCCGTTTTGTCTTATCAATATGATAAAGGATAGTAGGGAGAGTATGAGTGACGTTATTTCAAATGATTGTAATAATTCTAATATAATGATAAAGTTATAGCAAAAATAAAAGCATAAAAAATAAATTAATATATATATATATATATATATATATGTATGTATGTATATCCATGAAACACAAACACACATCCATATATATATACTTTTAAAAATTATCCTCATTACTTTTATTTATTATATTGTTTTCCACATATAATGTTGACACTATGATAGCTAAGAAAGAGAAAGACACCAAAAAAGTAAACCTAAGAAGAACCTTGCTAATATAATTTAATTTTATTAAGGGGGATGATTTATCATACTGTAATGAGTTGATAAGGGAATCTTTTGCATTTTTAAACAAATACATTTTTTTTGTCACAAAAAATAATTAACAAAAAAAAAAAAAAAAAAAAAAAAAAAAATGTATTAATACTATTTAATTATATAATAGTTATAAAATTAATAATTATATTTTTAAAACTTTTTATAACTTTTTTCAGGTTAATTTTTATATAAAATAATGAATTAAAATAAATGACAGTATTAATTATGGGTTATACAAACATACATATGTATATTATATATATATATATATATATATTAAGTAAAAAAAAAAAAACAATAAAAGAATAAATAATATAATAATAAAATAATAAAATATATTTGTATATACACATCTACAAATAGTATATAAAAGAATATTTTTCTGAGTTAATTAAATAATGAAAATAAATAAATAAATAAACAAACAAACATATTTATATATATGAGGAAAAACTAAAAAACTGGAAATGAAATTTATTTCAATTTTTTTTTTTTTTTTTTAAAAAACAAAACAATATGGTAAAATAAACCATAAAACATAATAAAAAGAAGAAAATATAATATTTGTCCAGTGTTATAAATTTTTAATTATTCAAAAAAATTTAATTGCAACTTCTTGAAACTTTATTATTACTTTTTTTGTTATTTATCAAAATTATAATAAAATAAATAAATATATATATATATATATATAGAATGAATATTATTTATTCATATTTTTTGTTTAATGTCAATACAGTTCCATCGTGTTTACTTATTAAAGCTACATTCGTCATGTTAACAAAAATACCATGATCAACAACTCCTGTAGTCTGAAAAAGAAAAAAAAAAAAAAAAAAAAATGAAAATGAAAATATATGATGATATAACAATATATTTAGAATATATGATGATATAACAATCTATTTAAAATATATGATAATATAACAATCTATTTAAAATATATGTGTATATTGATAAGTGTTGTTATATAATAACATATACTTAAATCCATATATTCATTCAAAATAAAATATATGTTCATCTTTCCTTGTTACCATTTTAATTCTGGTACATGTTTCTAATAAATCTTGTATAGGTTCAGTAAAAAAAAAATCTACAATATAATTTTTATTGTCTGTAATAAATATTTCCCCGTTTCTCTTTCTTATTTTATATGTACATTCTTTGAGTGTATATATTTTTAACAAATTCTCTATGATTTTTTCATACCCAAATGTAAGAATTTCTACAGGCACAGCCCCTGTCATGCCCAATCCGTTTGTGCATAATTTGGACTCATCACCAATCTGGTAAGTTCACAAAAAAAAAAAAAATAAAATAAAATAAAATATACACACATACATACATATATACATACACATATATATAAATAAATAAATATATATATATATATATTTACGTGGTTTATTTCTTACTATTATGAAAAGGGCAGAACTAGAAGCCACAAGCTTCTCACGAACTAAGGCTCCCCCCCGTCCTTTTATTAAATTTAAATTTAAATCTATTTCATCAGTTCCGTCTATGGTAATGTCAATTTTTGAAAACTTTTCTAATGTGGTTAAGGGTATACCCAGTTTTCTCGCCTATAAGAAAAAATAAAATGGATACGCATAAATATATACATACATATAAATAAATATACACATATAAATAAATATATACATATATAATTATTTATTACCTTCAATTCTGTGTCGATACTTGTTGGTATACATACAACATCTTTTAATTTTCCACTTTTTAATAAATTATCAATACGCTCAAGCACATAGAAAACCGTAGAACCTGTTCCCAGTCCTACTGTCATATTCGATTGCACATATTCGTCTACTGCTTTGTAAGCCTATCAAAAAAAAAAAAAAATAAATAAATAAATAAATAAAATGTAATAAATTGAATAATTACTATACACATAATAATATATATATATATATATATATATATATATATATATATATATGTATATTTCTTTTTTTTTTTTTTTTTTTTTGCGAATGAGAGCATCCACTACTTCCATATATACGTGTTCTATGTATATAATAAATTATTTGCCAAACTAATATTTTATAACATATATATATATATATGTTCACAAACTTACAACTATCTTTTTTAAACTGTCCATTTGTTCTTTCTCTTCTTACGACAGTACATTAAAAGGTAAAAAAAAAAAAAAAAAAAAAATCTATGGGGACTTTTTTTTAAAATATTATGTACTTATAATGGAAGAGAAAAAAGAAAAATAAAATAAACAAATTATTAAATAATCTTATTATATATCATTTATTAAAATACATTTTTATATCTCATTATTTCAGTCTCCGATAATAAACATATATATATATATATATATATATTATATTTATATGTTGTAAATAATATTTTTTTAAATTATTTTATACAACAATATTTTTAAATATACCATAATATAAAAAGAACTTTTTATATATTATTATTAATACTCATATTATTATAACATAAAAAAAAAAAAAAAAAAAAAAAAAACAATCATATTTACAAATTTAATGTATTCATTTTTGTTGGATAATTATAAAATTATATCATAAAAAAGTCGATACTTGTATAGAATTTAATGAAGTGGTTGAGATTTAAGAAAACAAAATGATAAAAAAAAAAAAAAAATAATATTATATATACTATTATAGTATAGTCTTAAATAACTAGTTTAGCTTTTTTATTTATAAAAAACATAATCTTAATATTTTAAAGAATATATCAATAAATTGGTAACCTA